CAATAGTAGGGATAAAATATGAATTTATCCATTAACCTTTGGTCATTAATAATTGGGACAAAATTCAACTTTTCAAGTCTTATTTCTCTCTTAATTCAATGTACTTTCCCCCATCAAATTCCAGTCTGAAGAAACAATATGACCATTTAGTTTATCACTAAAATAGAAACAATTCAACGGCTCCTCATGTGACCAAGCATCTTGTGACTTTTGGTTACATGATTTATAAGATCAATATCCATGTGCAAAACCTATCCAAATGCTTTTAATTAAATAATGAAAAAAAAAAATCCAAGAAGATTCCATGGCTCTTTACAATCATAGTCTGGTGGGCTACAATCATAGTTATCAAACGCAAGTTTTCACCTAGATTGATAAGCATAGTCTTATCTAGTTTTGTAAACAAATCGAAGCGAGCTTGGGCTGTTCGTTTACGTTCGAACAGTGTCCGTGTTCGTTCGTTTATTTTTCGAGCAAATAATCATGTTTGAGTTCGTTCGTTAATTGTTCATCAAAGTTCGAGTTCGTTTGTGTTCGAATAATTAAATACATAAATTTTTTAAAATATGTGTGATTAACTCGAAATTTGTTCGTTTGAACTTTAAAATAAAAGAATTAAATTAGAATTTTAGATTTTTTATTAAAAATATTATGTAAATATATATAAAATTATATTAAAATAATGTTCGCGAACATAATCGAACCTTCACGATCGGGCTCGTGTTCGTTCGATTACTAAATGAGCCTAATTTTTTGTTCGAACTCGGCTCGATTAACAAACGAATGAGCTTTTGTCGAACACGAACGAGCTTTTGTTCGCGAACATTCGGTTCGTTTACAGCTCTCGTCTTATCTTATGCTGGGTAACAAACAAAATCTTAGTTGTTATATACTGAATTTCCAATAAATCTTGAGTAATCAAATAGAACTGAAATATCTAATCAACCTTAATTAGTTTCTGAGTTTAGTATATAGTAAATTGTCTTAATTTTCACCATTTACATTAATATCTACATTTATATGTAAATTAAAAAAGATAAATGCACAAATGTTTATTATGTTTTTATTAATTTACACTTCGTATCCCGTGGGCCTACTACTACTCTTTCATTTTTATTTTTTTTAGTTTGTTTTCCTTTTCATTGGGCCTGAGCCCATTGCGTCACAAGAAACTCAAGTTGAGGAGTTCTTTTCTTAAGGTTAATGGCATCTCAAGTCATATGTACAAAAATTAGAATTGTTTTCGTGACACGTCATAATATAATATTCATATAAGTAAACAAGGTATTTTATTTGGTAAGCTATAAAAAATAAATATTTTGAACGATGTTTTTTTTTAATCAAGTTAAATTATGACTATTATAAAAAGATAATGAATTTTAGATCTAAATTATAAATCAAGTACCGTCAATTCACAAATTTGATATACTTTCAAAACATTCTCAAAATATTATTTCTAGGAAACTGTTTATAGATCTTGGCTTTTACGCGGTAAATTATAACGTTGTTAGATACAAGTAAAATTGTAAATGAATTGACTCGATTATATTCGAGCTCCGCCAAGTCGATAAATGAGTTACAACTCAAGTCGTTTATCAAACATAACGAGTCGAGTTGTGGAAAAAGTTTGGAAATTTACTTTAAAAAAATTGTTTTTTGAGCCTAATGAGTCTTAACAAGGTTAGAGCATGAGCAACCCGTTTCGTTTAACAAGTGCAATAATTATATACATTTAAATAGGTTTGGTGTGTTATTCTTGATAATCAGTTGCTTTCTTTACAGTAATTTCTTGAACTATTAACATATATAATTCGACTATTTAATTAATGCTCGATCTCGACTCGCTAAGACTCATTAACCAACTCTTACGAGTCAAATTCAATTCAAGTGGACTCGAATTGACTACCTTTTTAATAAAGGCCGAGGCTCGAGCTCGAGTTCGATACAACTTCTAAATAATTATAGTTATATAGAAATATCAATTCCGTTTCACATAAATTTGAAGTATACGGCAATAACTCCATGATCCCGTGTCAATGTTTAATTAGTAGGTAATTAATATTTTTAGCCTCTTCTTAAAAATGATTAGGAAACTCGAGATAGATCATTAGCTAATAATTGTCCTTTATTTAACAATTACGTGAATTTGACAAAATAAAGCTCCCAATATCAGGGGTTTATTAATGCTAATACTTTAATCGGCAAGATGGGCGGCTGGGATCAAAATACAATGCGCACGCGTCATTAATAGCTTACGTGGCGGTAATCTAGCGGCCCTATGCTGTATGATTGGATTGCCACGTCCTTTAAAGAAATAATTTTTCAATGGGGTAAACTTGTAAGACAAGAAAAATTTAAGGCCCACAAAATGCAATTATATGCAAAAGATGAAATGTTTGTGCTAGATGGGGTCAAATTTTGTTACCTCATGGATTTAGTGTCGGGCGTGAAATCTAATACTGATAAACTAAAGTTTAAGTTATGATTTTTTTTTTTTGTCGGTTCAGAAAAAGAGACAAAGTCTAAGAAAAAATCAAATTATTAAGTTTCGTGGATGGAAAATACCGAGAATATCGTGTTCCAGCCATAGTTTAACTTCTCCCGGAGAGGCCTGTAACACATGAAGTCCTCCTAGACTAAGTGTAGCCAGCAAGCAAGCGAGTCCGCTGCAAAATTTAATTCACGCCAATCATTAAAAAGCGTACCTCCCAGTTCCCGTCTATGAATTCCCGAATGTTCGTATCAAACTACCATTTGCTCCCACGCCACCATGGCGTCCCTCAATTACCACACTTTGGTTATCAAAATGAATTTGTGCTCTGTGATTTTATTTTTTTATTTTTTAAATGTTTATATTTGTCAAGTGATTGCATGATGATTATGTAAATAAGAATAAAATATATATCAAAAATTGCAATTCAATACTTGATTCTCGCACCTTCCAAAATAGGTTCTCGTAAGTTAGGATCAAAATTTAATGACTTGCAAAATTCTGGAAGCATTTACAGCATGTTGGAGCTAGTTTACATGCATATAAAATTAAGCTATATTTGGTAGATAAATAAGTTATCATATAGTTTATCTAGTTAGTTTATAAGATAAATAAGCTATTAATTCGAAAATTACTGATAAGTAATAAGCTAGTTTATCAATTATCAACTAGTTTTACAAAACACAGCCTTAAGGAATTCAAGCCAATTTTTCATACATTAGGACTTGTTAATACTAAATATGATATTTTTTTCTCCAAGTTCTCTTATATTCAACTAGATTATGCCAAAATCAAGAAAATATATATTATATCTCATTTCATATCTTTATAAACTTCCCTTTCTTTTTCGAACTTGCTTACATGGCCCTTAAAGGACTCCGGTTTCTCCTAAGTCGTACATCGACCTATAATAACTCTCCTTGTAGGATGAACTTGTCAGTTTTTTCGTGGACAATCTTTGCTCTTCAAGTTGAATCGAACTTTGAATATATACTAGTTAATTATCTTAACCCGTTTATCGAGATAATACAATTGACTATAACTGATATCGGTAACCACACTGGCAGAACAGATAAACTAACTGGTTAGGACGAACGAACGACTGGTCGAACGAAAGTACAGGCCCATGTCGAACGTTGTTATAGAATATCGTGGGAGACATCAAAAGATTAAAAAACACAGGCAAGTCGAGTCAAGGCTATCGAATGGCCTGATGGAAACTCGACCTGAAGGCATGACTGGTCATATGATCGACCAGCCAGACAAGATATGCAAGCTCGACTGGCGCAACATTCTACCTCGAGGTGTTCAGATTAGTCATACAATTAGGCGGTCTAATAAAGCATACTAATGGATAAGAATGAATATTAATAGAATAAACCTAACAGAATTGGGCATTTTGGACAGTTCGCGCAGTACGAACACGGACAGCTCACTCGGACAATCTTGGGCAACAAGGTAATTTCTCCAGATTAAAGGGAGTGACATATGCTTTTTAGTACATTATACTCTCTATACACTTACATACAATATTGTTCACCGTCTTTAACAACTCTCTAACTTAAGCATTGGAGGCTCTTCACCGGAAAACACCCTCCGGTGTCGAGTTTTTGCATGTCACGAAGGTTATCCATCGACGATCGAGGAAGACAGATCAAGTCGAACCGAGCCGATCGAGGGTCTTTTTTGACCTATAACGATACTCTATATACATAAAACACGCTACAAGCAAGCTATATACAGTCTGAATGCCATTCACCAAATAACATAACTTGCCCATAGTTTCTTGCAAAATATCTGCCCAAAAAAAGAAATCCTAACATTCAATACACTACCTTCTTTTGTTTGTGAATTAAAACAATTATATTAATTTTTTGTCTTATTTATACTATTATTACTAACCACTTCTTATGAAGATAAGATTACATCCACATAAATAAAAATTTTTTCTCTATACAAGCTACCCTTAGAATTGTAATTATCAATATCACATTCAATCTCATGGATTTTAAGTGCAATTTTAATTTATATTGAATTGTTTTATTAAGAAAATAATTAATTAGAAGAGCAAGCGATTAAATATAATATAACTAAAATGATGATACTTCATAATATATATATATATATATATATATATTTACATTTTTTTGTAAGAAGGTATGACTGGTTATCTAACCGTTAGACAATCTAACAATAACACATATAATCTATGTCACATGCATATACTAATTAATGTTCTAAATAACCAAAGGATAGGAATGTAATTTCAAGCTACTCAATTATTAGCCAAACCTAAACTATGACATATATAACATGCAACATGCATCATGCATAATATTTATCCAATATAATATTTTTTTTGTCCTACCCCAAAATACCCCTATAAATAACACCTCTTCATATTCAATCCAATTCCCCCCCACCCCACCCACCCCACAAACTTTTATTAGCTTCTAAAAACTCTCCACAAATGGCCATCTCACTTTTAGATCACACCCAAAGCCCCCTCAATTTCGAGAAATTCAAAAAACACCCCAATAATTCCAACCGGATTTCATTATGGGCCTTTATGGTATCCATCATAATTTACATTTCAGTGTTTTACACCTTCAACCTCTCCCCCTCAAATCTCTTATGTACCCCCAAGTTTTGGTTTATTACACTTAACACCCTTATTCTCATCATCGCATCCGATTTTAGGGCCTCCCGAGAAAATCACGATGACTTTTACGGCGGATATCATAAATTCAGCGCCACGACACATGGCGACTCGTCATTCGTGGTAAAATCTCGTGAAAAAGAAGTTTACCAAGAAACTCGTGAGAGAATAATACGAGTCGTGGAAAGTAAAAATACTACAAAATTCGATGACAGTGAAAAGGTGGATAATAATTCGAGTGAGAAAATGATTGGTAAAAATTGCTATGAAAGTAAAAATTTAAATGGGCCAAAAAATTACGTTCGATCTATTTCGGGGAAATTGAACATATCGCGAGAAAATGAGGAGAAATTGGTCATGAGAAAAACGTTGTCGGAGAAATATGATCGTGTGGGGCCCACTTTGGAGGAAGATGAGTTTTCGATAATGTCCGATGAAGAATTAAACCGAAGAGTTGAGGAGTTTATAAGACGGTTTAATATGCAGATAAGGTTTCAAGCGGGCCGGGCGAGCGGGCCGTCGGTGGTGTAGCTGCACCGGGTGTAGAGAAGTAGTTATATGCTATATATTACTTTTTTATTTTTTATTTTAAATATAAATATGAGTTTTGGAGTGTAATTAAGTGTCGGTTTCAACTTTCAAGTGATTCAAAATCTGTGTCAATTTGAATAAGTTAATTAGTGGAAATTTTATTATGGCCTTGTTTGGTAATCAACTGTTGCTGTTAGCTGTTAGCTGTTTGTATTAGCTGTTTTGACTAACTGGTTGCATTAGCTGTTTTGACCAGCTGATCGCGTTAACTGTTTGTAAAAAAATGTTTAGTAAAATTAACTTTTTCAATTAGCTATTAACATGTAAAATTACTTATAAGGACATCAACATACTTTATCATTTTAATTTATGTTTAACTTTTAATAATTTAAAAAATAAAAATATTCAATATTTAAAATATTTATTAAAATGATTAATATATGATAAAAAATATATAAACAATAATAAAATGAAAATATTTCATGATCGAGTAATTAAGTTCACGCCATATAAACAAAGCCAACGATAAGTCATACTAATGGAAAATACTAATGGAAAATATAAATGTGGCTCAATCGCAATATTCACTATTATAATTAAAAAATAAAAATTAAAAAGAAAAAGAAAAAAACAAATACTTTGCGACGTCTGGATGCCATCAAACTTGAAGTTATATCATTACGAACGTTTGCCATCTCCCGAGTCCTCATTTCCTCATCACCTTGTGCAGAACTATTTTCAACATCGTGGAACACATCAGGAGCTATGAATTCAGGATTCGCATCAATATCTCTAAAGCCCGGATCACCAATTGTATTTCTTCTGATATAATTATGAAGTGCAAAACATGAACAAATGATTCTATTTTGGTCCAAAATTCATCTTCTTCTTTCAAGTACTCTAAGCATTGAAGATATTGTTGTTCATACAGAAGAAGTTGCCTAATTTTCACATCATTATTTTCCATGCCTGCAAAAATTAGAATAAAAGAATTATATCAATTTTACAAAAGTAACTTCATAGATTAATAAAGTTAATTGTAGAAAGTACAAATACCAAAATAAACCATCAATAGATAAACATCCAACATTACCATACAACCCAAAACTATGTCCAAAAAATAAAAGGAACACATCATTCAGAATCATACCATCAAAAAGTAAAGATATAATAAACTTAAGTATATGTTTTCTTATGCTCCTTATACATGTATTTAATGTATTCAACCCTACTGTTATCATCAGGCATTCCAAAAAAAAATAATTCTTTTTTGTGGATCTTTGAACATCGTGCAAGCAAAGAAAAATTCTGGCGAAGTAGCTGTCAAATCCGAAAGAGTGCATAATTTCGCCATAGCATCCCCAAGGTCATAGTTACATTTTTCCTTCATTGACTTCGCTATATCCATGTGCAAACTCATCGTGTTATTGAAGTAGTAATTTCCTCTGTTGAATGGTTTCTTTCTGAAATTGTTTGCATCATTCCTCCAAGCATTTCTTGAATTGCTGTAGCCCCTATTCTCTTACCTGAGTTGGTTCTTGTTGGTTCTTGCAGCCTTACTACTTTGTGAGAAGCCCCCAGCTAAAGACTTCTTACCCTTTCTCCCATCATTTGCTTCAATCCGTATGTCACCAGGAGAAGGGATAGGGGTAGGTGTACGAGACGGGCTAATATCTGTCCATACCTCATCCCATGATTCATCCACCGCACAACAGTTGTCACCACCATAAACATTAGTGCTGCTCTCATGCACTGGAGAAGGAACATACACATCCTTGACTTCTTGCATCACATGTGTTTGTTGTGGAGTTAATGCTGGAGTATATTTGAGCTTTCCTTGAGCAGAAATAGCAAAAATAGCAAAAATCTGATCCATTTTACACTCAAGTTCTGTCTCGATCCCTTCTTCTCGAAACACTTCATACTTAGAGTTTTCCTATAAACATAACACGTGAAAATATATAACTAAGATTTACACTTATTATAAGATGAGAAGTAAATAAAAAAACATAAAAGTAAACCAACCTTAACTTTCAAAGCAAAAAAGTCACTTGCAGGATATCTTAAAACAATTTACTAAAATGAAAAAGAATTGAAAAGAAAAAAGGAAACACAGTCGGTTAAAAATTCTATCAATTCAATTAATTAAACTTAAACATAACCAAATTCCTGTGAACATAATATCTGATACATATAGACACTTAGAACTTTACTTAATTACTCAAAAACAGCATAAAAAATATTGCTTAAACCGTACCCAAAATAATAACCAAGATACCTACAAGCATCTTCAAGTAAAACCATGACATGGAGTTGGAAAAAATATATTTCACAATTTTAAATACGAGGATCTTTTGGACCATTTGTTTTGTGAAATATGACTTTCAAGTTGTTATGTGCTCTCTTTTTTACAACTTCTTTGTATCATGTTCCTAACATAGTTGTATTAGAAATTTTCCTTCTGATATATATAAATGATGTATATAACCTATTAGTTCCATACTACAACCACCATTTATCATATTTTGGAAACTATACAATCTCTATGTGTTTGAATTGCATCAACTGATAAAGGTAATCTAATTTTTGCTTTATCCAGTTCTTATCACAAATTATCTCTTTTTTTTTTTAATTCTTGATTCTGTCAATTTAAAAAATTCCATACAAATTTTGGCCCCAATCAACCAAAACAAATGAACATATTAGAGAAAAAGTTGCAGAAGAGGAAAAACACCATGGTATTGGCATTTCATAGGCAGAGTAATAAAAAACATCAAGCAAATTAGGTTATCATCCACAACAATGCCATGTATGCCCATTGGGAAATTCTCATTATTTTCAATAAGCTATTGTATGTTAACAACTCCAAACACACATTTAAGCTCTAAGCTTAATTAAGTTGAAAACTAATAAGTCACAAGGGAAAACAATATATTAACATCATACAAACAAAATCAAACATCATGGTTGCTCACATAACCACCAAGACAAAAATAACAATAGTTAATCAAATTATCCACCACACAACAATATTGAAGTTGCAAAAAATGTGTAACAATTAGTTATCTTCTTACATGTATATATCTTAGTCTCTTCATTACAGCATGGGGACTAAATGTAGTATAAAAAAAAAAAAAAAAAAAAAAAAAAAAAAAAAAGAACTGACCAAAATTTTCTAAACAAAAATAAAAACCAAGAAAAAAAAGTAAAAGAAAGTATGAAAAATTTGACTGCAAAAGTGATATTTGCAACTTTATAATCCAAATTCTAGGCAAGCTAATAGTTATTGTCCTCAACCCCATAGATTTTGTATTCCAACATCAGAATGTAAAATGAATTGCCCTAGAAAAGAGGGAAAAAATGAAACATCAAGTTATTGTTCCAAATCAATAACAATCGGTTTCTTTATTGTCAATATGAACCCTAAATTTAAGATTTAGAACTATCAGTTGTTTTGATTACATTCCAATCCCAATTATCAGCCTATGTTTATGTTTTCACCTTGAATCCTTTTCAAATTGATGATGAACAGAGAGAGTGAGTGTGTGCGAGAGAAAGAAAGAGAGAGAAGAGAGAGTACCTCTGTGTGAAGGGCTTTCGCTCTCTCAAGAGAGTGGGATGCGTCGGCGGAAGAGTCGGATGTGCTGGCGGAGGCGGTGGGCTGGCGGAGGCGGTGGTCCTAGCGGTGAAGAGCAACCGGAAGGGCTGCAACGCTAGCAGAGAAGAAGATTTTTTTGGACGAGAGAATTTGGAAATAGGAAAGAAAAATGGAAGGGACAGAGAACCAGAGTGGGCAATTCAGACTTTTTTGCTTTCTTATTTTGATCCGCTAAAATTAAAAACGCTGCAAAGTCAAAAAAACTATGTTTAAAAGCTGTTTACCAAACTATTTATTTTAGCGGATTTGTAAAGTCAAACAGCTAAAATTGTGAAAAAGATATTTTAAATGCAAAACGCTAATTTAGGTTTATCCTAAAGTAAGCTTTTCCTCCACAGGAGAAAAAAAAAAAAAAAAAACCTTCAATTCTTATCAAATTTCAATGGCGAAATTGGGTTCTGTGGTGTGCGCATCAACCCCAAAACCACCCAATCAAAACCCCTCATCTTCGTCGTCTTGTTCAAATTCAAAGCCAACCCTTTGTTTAACAAGACGAAGATCTGTAGTTTTTACTTCCTCATTGGTGGCCTCTTATTTGCATTTGCATCAAAATGGAATAAAGCCCACTTTACAGCCCGCCATAGCCCAAGAAATGGATGATGAGCTTGACGGAGAAGAAAACCGGGTTGTTCGAATTTTCCAGGTACTCAAATTCATGGCATTTCTTTGCATTTAGTTTGAAGAAGAAGAAGAAAAAAGAAAAAAAGATTGAATTTTTCCTGTTATTTTCTGAAATTTGGAGAGGCCCTTTTAGTTATATTGCAATGTAAGTTGAATGGGAGCTTATATTATTCATGAAGTTGATGACTTGACTTTGATGAAATCGAGTTGTGTGAACCAGAAAAGCCCACTTGATAATCTTGAAAACTAAGTACTGGATGATGCAATGGCTTCTCTGTGTAGTGCATTTAGTAATTGATTGTGTTAAATTTGGTTAAAATACTCAGTTTTTTGTCAAACTTGTAGGAAAATTTATCCTCTGTGGTTTTTATCAAGGACATTGAGTTAGCTAAAGTCCCAAAGAGCACTTCTGAAAACGGTGTAGCTGATGAAGAGAATGCAAAAGTGGAAGGATCGGGTTCCGGCTTTATCTGGGACGATTTTGGTCATATTGTAGGTTCTTTATTTTTTCTTTCGTTTTTTTCGTTTTTCCCTTACGAATATTGTAGCTTTATATGCATAAGTTACAACATAATGAATATAGTGAATTGTTTCTTCTTATAACAGGTAACTAACTACCATGTGGTTTCTAAATTGGCAACGGATAGAAGTGGCTTACAACTCTGTAAGGTTCC